TCAACAATCAATAGCGTTAATATAAACAAAACTGCACGTGTGCAGAAATAAAGTGGTCCCTTTGTTAAAGAATCCACATAATATTACACAATGCTCAAAAGTATTAACACCTCATCATATTCCTACACAGACGATATAGACTTTTTTGCTGGGACCTTCCTGAACATAATGCACAAAACCGCATCTCGATATCTGCTATCCCTAAAATTTTCCGCTATTTTCCTAACTTCCCTGGACCATATTTGAAGCAAGTAAAGGTAGATTCATACTATAGGTCCGGTCACGGTCAGATCACGGTCCGGTCGCGGTCCAGTCAAATATTAGAATATGCAATTTGTATTAAAGTATTCATATTACTCTGCACGTTCAGGTAACGATCTAGTCAATTGACCGCGCTCTTTCTTTCTGCGAATATTTTGAACTTTTTCTGTTGGCTTCTCTCTTCCTCATCTAGGATGTAAGCCATTATGACCAGGTCTCTTGTTGAAAACTTTGAAAACATTGCTTGTTTTAAATTAACTGACAAAAGACTGATGAGCGACCGCAACAGTGTGAATAGTTCATAAAAAAACCTGACCGCGACCGGACCGTGACCAGACCTCTAGTATGAATCTACCTTAAATAAACAACAGACGGGTTACGGGTTGAATATTGTCAGCACACCTTCGAAATATATATGCTGGAAGCAGCACACCCACAAAGTAAAATTAACATTTGTATTTATCCATTTACGTTAATTATTTTATATTTTGTAAACCACTTTTTTTTGTATTCTTATGTATGCACTCTTTTTACGAGAACTAATTTTATTATTTAATTTATCTGTTCTCAAACGTATAAATATAAATAAAAACAAAACAAAAGGAAACAAAAGTGCAATGTATTAATGTATTTGTGTATGTATTTCCCTGTATATTCTGTTATATGTACAGTATGTCCCTAATGTATGGAATAAATTCATTATTTATAAAATAATCGACTTTTGAAAAAAATCCAAAAACAGGTCAATTTTAATTTTTGAATCGTCATCACATGATGTAGATGTAACGAACATTACGTCACCAATATTACCGTGGTGACGTAATCGGCAATTTTTTTAAATGCAACCATGTGTCTCAAAACACCTCATTGGAAAGGTCTTCTAATCGTCTTTACAACGATGTAATTATTTGAATATTTATTTCTACAGGGTCGACCAAAACTGTTTATTTACTAAAATCTTAATCATAAATTCTGATTCACTGAACTAAGTTATTGTAAGGACCGCCACTGGAAATAAAACATCGTAGTGTACCCAAAAAATATTTCTGTATTTTGGATATGTTACTGATAATAGTACTAAATTCTAATTTAACACTAATTGATGTGTATCAGTCAAGTATTCAATAGTTAAAATCTTTAAATTAGCATAATTTAGTAATGAAGCTTACAGAAACTGAACGAATCGAAATATTAATGATGATTGGCTATGGAGATAGAGTAAGGACACAGAGAGAAGTTGGCAATTTATTTAATGCTACATACCCCAATCGTGAACCCATTTCTCAATCAACAATTAGTAAAATCGAGAAAAAGTTTCGAGAAACGGGCCATGTTAAAGGTCTCCCCAAAAGTGGTAGAAAGTCAATTTCCGAAGACAAAAAAGTTAACGTTTTACTAGAGTTTCAAGAAAGACCCCACACCAGCACGAGACAAGTTGCGCTGGATAATAATTTACACCATTCTACTGTTGCTAGAGTACTGAAAAAGGAGAAGTGGCATGCGTATAAGGTACATTTGGTCCAAGAGCTGTTAGAAGATGACTTTGATAGGAGAATTGAATTCTGTGAAACAATTATGGAACGATCTAACAAAGATCGTAATTTCATAAAAAATATACTTTTTTCGGATGAAGCAACTTTTATGCTCAACGGCCATGTAAACCGCCAGACATATCGATACTAGGCAAGTGAAAATCCCCATTGGATGCAGGAGTATACGACACAATATCCTGAAAAGGTGAATATTTGGGCCGGCATTATAAATAATCAAATAATAGGGCCATATTTTTTTGAAGGAAACTTGACCGGTCCTCGATATCTTCAATTTCTTCAGGATTATCTATTACCACAATTAAATCAACTATTTCCAAATAGATGTGATTTGTGGTTTCAACAGGATGGGGCACCCCCACATTACGCCTTTGATGTACGAACCTACTTAAATGCTGTTTTTCCAGATAGGTGGATAGGAAGAAGAGGAACGATCGAATGGCCACCAAGGTCGCCAGATTTGACACCCTTAGACTTTTTTTTATGGGGATACTTGAAGAGCAAAGTTTATCAAAGTCGCCCAAATGATATAGAAGAGTTGAAGGATCGCATCAGAACGGAGATTGCACAAATAACGCCTGAAGTTCTCGTAAACGTTAGAGACGAATTTACTGCTCGGCTGTCTCATTGCATTATTGCTGAAGATCATCAGTTTGAACATTTAATATAATTTAATTGTTTTTTACTAAACAGTTTTATGTATTTTAGTAAATAAACAGTTTTGGTCGACCCTGTAGAAATAAATATTCAAATAATTACATCGTTGTAAAGACGATTAGAAGACCTTTCCAATGAGGTGTTTTGACACATGGTTGCATTTAAAAAAATTGCCGATTACGTCACCACGGTAATACTGGTGACGTAATGTTCGTTACATCTACATCATGTGATGACGATTCAAAAATTAAAATTGACCTGTTTTTGGATTTTTTTCAAAAGTCAATTATTTTAGAAATAATGAATTTATTCCATACATTAGCGACATCCTGTATGTCTAGAATGATAAGAATTCAAGGAGACGGCCTCGAATAATCGCAAAAACTATTAAAAATTCTTGAGCGATGAGTTAAAAAATATTAAAATAATTATTTACCTTGTCTTTCGTCCAAGAAGCGGTAAAAAGCAATATTTAAAAATATTTTATTCGAGAATAACAATCGAAGTATAAAAACATGTTTTATATTTTTCAAAATCAGCTGACGTTTTATAATATAATAAACAACCAGATAATAACACTTTTTACACCTTTTTTTAATAAAAGACATGCAAACAAATACGATAACATTGAATTGCAAATCATAATAACCTTTTTTTACAGTTTATTTTTGTCTAGCTTCAGTATAGTTAGTTTCAAATATACAGGGTCTTCCAGATTTCATAATATGCAAATATACATATATTAAACGTTATTAAACAAGTTAAAACAGTTAATACACTGCGACCTAAAAGATTTATTGTGCCCCCTTCTGTCGCCAATGCACTAAGGAAATGTTTCAATGCCTATAACGACCCTTAAAATCCTATTTTCTCAAGGAAGTGTAGAATTTGAAGTGGTTTAAAGTTAGGTAAATCTCCCTCTTCTATTTGATATCTTCCTAGATATAGTGCCCTTGGATTCTGGAGTGCTACACATTTAGTTAGAATGTGAATGGAGGTTTCGTCCTCTTCCGCACAGAATCTGCACTCACTATCCTCTACTTCTCTCAGTTTACTTAGGTGTCCTTTTAGTCGACAATGCCCGGTAAGGATCCCTGTTACAATACATAGCCTGTTCTTGCTCAGGCTTCCGATCTTTGCTGGTTATATTTACCCAGAAGTATCTTGGCCTGTCTCAGCCCCAAGAGATTGTTCCAGTTATCGGTTCTTCTACTGCCCAATTCTTTTTTAATCTTTCCCAGTATTAAGTTACTGCTGATACCGCAGAACGGCTCAGGTCCTACAAAGGGAGTTTGAGCCCCTTTCCTTGCAAGACTATCTGCAATCTGCAATCTCGTTACCCTGTACCCCTCTTATATCCCGGGACCCAAGTGAGAGTAACTCTATTTTTCTCGCCTAGCTCATTCAATTGTTCTAGGCATCTCCAGACCATTTTTGAGCTGATTACTCAAGAGCCCAACGCTTTGATGGCTGCTTGACTATCGGACATGATGATAATCTCTTGTCTATGATAGTTTCTCTCGATGTTAAACTGGATAAGCTTCTCGACGGCGTGAATTTTCCAAGCTTTCGGAGTGCTTGGTTCTCCGCCCATACACTCCTATTCCAGTTCCTTCTATGGTTTTGGAACCGTCCTTATACCACTGAATAGCACGTCTTTCGGTTGCAAGCGCGATGGATTCTTGGCTCCATTCTTTCTTGCAGTCCAGCTCTGTGGTTTTGAAGTTTTCACAAAACTGTACTTCTTTAGCATTTCATCCTGGGGCATGTCCCAGGTATCTTTAGTCTTGAAGCAAGTAGACTTTCGTCTGATTACTCCGTTCCTGATCATTCTATATCGTGTCCTTTTTGCCACATTCTCTATCATCAAATGTAGAGGGGTGAGGTTGTAAGTAGTGCGTTAATTTTGAACAGGAGTTTATAATTTTAAAGCAGACTATATTTTCTTTTTTTTTACCATTTTTTTAACTACTCTTTTTGGTCTCTTATTATATATTTTCTTAATTAACTGTAACCAGGTATTTTCTTTTTTTCACAGTTTCTTTTAATATTTTTAAGCAGGTTTTTTGGTAACTCAATTTATTTCAACTCAACTTTTACAATAACTATACAAGTGAATAACATTAACGTATAACGTCTATCATAAAACTGCCTCCCTGACGTCAGGATCACCGACTTATTTAGCTTCCTGAACTGTCCAGATTTTTCTTGACGTGGAATGACTTTTCTCAAATATTGCCCCTTCTTTTACTCGTACCTTTACTTGTGACGACAGCAGCATACTGGAGGATGCTGCGTAACAATATTAGTCTTCCTAAATTGTTAAAATTATTTACATTTTCAAATAATAAACTTCTCCTGGCTCTTTCTTTTTCTTTTTATCTATCTCTCTCTACCAACCTACGAGCTATTTCTTCCAATTCTATTTTATTTCTGACCTGAACCAATAATACCAATTATTCTGAAATGATTGCAATGAAATAAAATATAGCAACCTTAAAAATCTAACTGAAATAAATTTGTTTTTTACAGGTCTCGGATATCAAATCGTACTAAAATTGGCATCAAGAGGGTGCAAAGTTATAATAGCAGATAAAATAGTGAACATCGATATCAAAAATTCGATCATAAATGAAACTGACAACTCCAACATAGTCCTGGAATATGTAGATTTTGGTTCCTTCAAATCAGTAAGACAATTTGCAGAAAAATTAAAGAAATCCGAAGAAAAGTTGGATATTTTAGTGAACAATGTCGGCATTGGAAAGTGCTCTGATACACCTACCGAAGATGGTTTGAATTTGACCATGCAAGTTAATTATTATAGTACATTTTTGTTAACATATTTACTAGTAGGTAAGTGGTTTTCATAATTTTAATTTAGAATTGTATTTCTCTAGTCCAGTAACTGAAGGGTCAAACCTGTAGAAAATTCACTGATGAGTTCGCACATAGCGCAATTTGTAGGTCATCGCAAGTGTTTTTAAACGAGAAAATCCTTAACGCGTTCTTGGTACCGGAAGGGGCTGAAAATGAACTCCTAAAACCATCTGAATCAAATTTTATTATAAATAATAGGGAAATATCGGACAAAAAAATTATAGCAGGGGAGTTCGCTGATTATTTCAGTTCAGTGTATGACAACGATTCAAACTATAACCTTATAGATATTAATGGTTTGACTAACAATTGGAACGTAAATTTTTATCAGAATATTGACTTCGATCTAATATCCGTCAAAGACTTAGAAGCGGCATTTCGAAAGTTAAAACCGAAAAAGACAGCGGGTCCTGATAATATTCCTTGTTATATCCTAAAAGCTTGTAAAGATTATTTAATATACCCTTTGCTGGTAATTTTTAATAAGTCGCTTAAAACATCCATATTTCCTAGTGAATTTAAAAGAACGAGATTAACACCAATTTTTAAAAAAGGGGATAAAAATAAAATAGATAATTATCGTCCCATAGCCATATTAAATTGTACGGCGAAACTGTTTGAATTTGTAATATATGATAAACTGTATGCTTACTTTCAAAAATACATATCAACCGAACAACACGGATTTTGTCGTAAAAAATCTGTAGATACAAATTTATTAACTTTCAGTGATAAAATATCAAAATGTGTCAATTCTCGTGAGCAAGTAGATTGTATTTATACTGATTTTAAGAAAGCCTTCGATAAGGTAAATCACAATATTCTTCTAGCTAAACTGAAATATTATGGTCTTAGCGATCATCTAATAAATTTCTTTATGTCTTATCTAAAACTAAGGTATCAATACGTAATGTTTGGTGGTGAAGTATCTCATAAGTAGATAGACTAAGTGACCACGGGACCACATAGGGAATTCAACGTGTAAGAGTGAGAGGTAACCTACGAGATATGGCGTTCACGTAAACGAGGCCATTTTCATCATTTTGCGAAAAGACAAATAACCTACGAGATATGGCGTTCACGTAAACGAGGCCATTTTCATCATTTTGCGAAAAGACAAATAACCTACGAGATATGGCGTTCACGTAAACGAGGCCATTTTCATCATTTTGCGAAAAGACATCTAACCAAACCGCACCATTTTGCCAAAAACGGTCGTTAGACAGCTGCCCGTGGCCCCGGGATTTCGTCGAATAGAATTTTTGCGTAGTGATAAAGCCAAAAGGGCCTTAGCGTATATCTTCACTGCTATTGGTCCGATTCAAACGGGAAAAACGGCATTACGTAGAGATCAGCGTATAGATTAACATACAAGAGAAAAATCATGCGCAATGACAGGACAAAAGGACCTTAGCGTGTATCTCAGCTATCGTTGGTTCGATTTAAATGGGAAAAACGGCATTATGAAGAGATCTTGGTACAGATTACCGTCGAATAGAAAAATCATGCGCAATGACAGGACAAAAGGACCTTAGCGTGTATCTCAGCTATCGTTGGTTCGATCTAAATGAGGAAAAGGGGGCTATGTAGAGAGCGTGATATAGATTAACATACAAGAGAAAAATCATGCGCAATGATAGGACAAAAGGACCTTAGCGTGTATCTCAGCTATCGTTGGTTCGATCTAAATGGGGAAAAGGGGGCTATGTAGAGAGCGTGATATAGATTAACATACAAGAGAAAAATCATGCGCAATGATAGGACAAAAGGACCTTAGCGTGTATCTCAGCTATCGTTGGTTCGATTTAAATGGGAAAAACGGCATTATGAAGAGAGCGTGATATAGATTAAAGTTGAAAAGAAAAAATCATGCGCAATGCCATAAGGACCTTAGCGTATATCTTCACTGCTATTGGTCCGATTTAAACGGGAAAAAGGGGGTTATATAGAGAGAGGGGCACCGAAAAGTTTGACGTTTGACGTTTAACGACTGACGTTTCACGTTTGACGTTTGACGTTTCACGTTTGACGTTTACCGTTTTGACGTTTGACGTTCGACGTTTCACGTTTGACGTTTCACGTTTGACGTTTACCGTTTTGACGTTTGACGTTTGACGTTTGACGTTTGAAGTTTGACGTTTACCGTTTGACGTTTGACGTTTGACGTTTCACGTTTGACGTTTCACGTTTGACGTTCACGTTTGACGTTTCACGTTTGACGTTTCACGTTTGACGTTTGACGTTTCACGTTTGACGTTTACCGTTTTGACGTTTGACGTTTGACGTTCGACGTTTCACGTTTGACGTTTGAAGTTTCACGTTTCACGTTTGACGTTTCACGTTTGACGTTTGACTGTTAGTTTCTGCTAGTATCGAGGGTACAATAACTACTGCTACTACTACAGCTGGGTTGGCCGAGCGTCAAGGTTAACAACCTAGATCTCCGAGAGGAGGCGTATCCTACACCCGACAATATTAGTAAAATAAGTATAGTATTCAGTATTGAAATGTCTAGCGAAGAGAATAGACGTAGAATTGAAGAGTTTGCAGAGAAAGTTCAAAAACTAAGAAGAGACATACAATTATATGAAGATAAAAAACAAGTTTTAAAAGACCTATCAAATTTAAGTCTTTGGGAGGATATTGAGAGAAATCATCCTAGACCACTTAGAAGAATCCAACCGACGCAAATATGGCCATCTTAAAGGCTAATTTCATTATACTTACGGCTATATTAAACAACGTACTGTATACCAATGTACCGTTAGGCGTACAACAGATGGCGATACGTTTTGATAATCAAACGGAATGGCGAAAGATGAATTTCTCGGTGGTAAATAATATGAAGCTAAATACGTTTTCCATAGCAATCGATGAAGCAAAGAGATACAAATTAAAATTGATTTTTAATGATGGCACTGAAGGAGAATTCAAAGATTGGCATGCTGTTACGACTCCACCACCACCACCGATCGATTTGAGTGACATGTCAGAGCCCAAATATTCTAAATTATATGTAGTTAGTTGTATAACACTATCATCTACTTTGTTTATAATATTGAAAATTATTGTAAAAATTATAAATAAAAAATTTTATTCTTCTTGTAAAACGAAAATAAATGCATGAAATTAATAAGGGGTTTCAATTAAAAAACATTTCCTTTAATAATCATTTATTAATAACAAAAAAATTACAAAGGTATGCAATTAAGAAACCATTGGCGTAGACTTTCGACGTTCTTCTGGGTACATTTAAATGATCCATTGGCGTGGTACATGCAGGTTTTGGAGTCACTACTGAATTTTTCTGTTGCACACGGGGTTCCATCGAACTTGCATACATCTACTATTATAGGACGTGACACGTGACACTTTTTTAGTAAAAATTCGGCTTTTTCACTTCCTCGCACGTAAATACAATCAGCATGGTTTAGTAAATATGTTTCCAGAATCGAGTTTAACTTGGAATAATCCACGTCTCCAGAGGAATAGTTGATCCCATGAATATGTTTCTCAACATATCTAGCGCTAATTCTATCAGGCGTATTTAGGTTAGAATAAGGTGTAGGCGGTGTGAACAAAGCGTGGTATTGTTTACAACCAATTGCGATACTCAATTCCTTTGGATGAAAAATACCGTCGATGCAGAAGCCTTGGATGTCAACGAATGCGATCCTCATGATGACAGAAACGAGACTGAACATATTATTATTAAATGATACTCTTAACTACTTCCGTAAGAGGACGATATTCCATCAAACGATCATGAATTATGATGCAATATGCTTTGGTATTAGCGGGGAATCCTGTATCTGCTTCTATTTCCAATTTTACGTCAACCGTAGAAGATTTCATAGTCTCTTCCTGCTTTGAACAATCAATCACAAATAATGCGTAGCGTTTGAACGCTTCATAGTTTAGAAGAGCCGTTTTCGGTGTACCGGTTATATAGTTTGCATTAAATTCTGTGTAGTTGTAGTGAGCAATAGCATAGTCGTCTTCTTTAAAATCTAAAAGCATTCGTTCGTTTGGCCAATATTCCCCGTTTAGAGATACTCTAACACCGGTTAGGTTAACATTATCAAATTTAGTGGGGTCGCTACTTAGTTTATTCCGCCTGTCAGTTTGGAAGCAAACTAATATATATCGTGGACGTTCTACGGCAGCACTAGTCTTTACGGCCCAAATTTCTCGTTTAGAATCTTTAGTTATTGATGGTAGTTCATTTAATTCCCAGTTTCTAAACGGAATCAATATAGGGCGATCATTTTTGATGGGTTCCATAAGTTTAATTTTAATTTCGTCATTAGGGAAGATATGTTTAATTTTTACTTCCATACTTTCAATTATCAATTTAACGGTTGTAGAGGTCATACCACTACCACTACCTCCGGTTATAGGCTGCTCTGTGACAATGACACAATCATTATCGTTACGTGATCGAACTAAACGAAATGTTTGCCTACCATAGGTAATCATAGTATAATCATTGAAAACGTTGAAAATGTGTTTAAGAGGCATAAGCAAATTGAAATGTTTTGAACCATTCAGAAGCGGGTTATCGGGATAATTCCATCCCGCAATACTCATGAAACGACTGTATTCCGGTCCATAGCATGTTAAGGCTCGTACGGTGCTTACGATTCCAGGATCTCTAACGACTTCTATTTCTCTAGAGCATTCGCTGTAGGAACAGCTATCGAAAAGAAACGCTCCAAAATTGGGTGCTAATTCACATTTTCCCCCGCCAGTAATTTCCAATTTTCCTTTAATTTCCAATAGAGTGTCAGGCATTGCGAAAAATGCATCAGATTGATTTATGATAAATTCAATGACGTCGCTGTTGTTGAACGATTTAACGTATGGACTATAGGATCGATATTCTTCTTTTCTAATGGTATCATCAAATCGTGGTTTTTTATAAAGGTTGAATTTTGGATCGATACCACCTTCATCGAATCGAAAACGTTTCATCA